TTTGCTCTCGCGGCTAAAACGCAGTCCGGGGTTGTAAAGCGTGTGAAATTACGCACTGGTCTCTTAAAGAGTGGCTAATTTATAGTAAATAGCGAGGGCTTTGTAAATGGCTTTATTATGTTGTTTCTTGTTAATTGTTGAGAAAATCCCCCATTGTTGAGTGTGAATGGCTTTATGGGGCTAACCCGGGCTCCGCTGCAATTCCGGGGCAGTAAATGGCCGCTCCGCTAATGTGGCCCCGTAGCGCAAGGCCCTCCCCGGCCGCGGTGACCTTTGAGCGGCGGGGCCAGGCCGGGCCGGGGGTGCGAGGCCCGGTCCGCTCCAGCGGGGCCGTGCGGGGACCGGGCCGTGCGGCGGCCGCGCTAAGATGGACGCCCCGCAGGCAGCCTCCCCCCCCGCAACCCTGCCCCGGCCGCGGAGGCAACGCAGCCCCCCTCGGAGCGAGGGAGAGCCGGGACCCCGGCACCGGGGTGACCCCGGCCCCCCATCTTTTCCCTCTCTCTCTCTGCCCGCCCGGTACAGAGCGGAGCGGCCCTGGGCAGCTCTCCCGGTGCCGGGCCGAACCCCCGCCGGTCCCCCCGCCGCGGCAGCGCACACGTGGAGGGGCCGCTCTCCGCCCTTTGTTAGCCGCACCGAGCCTTGCGGGCAGCCCCGGGGGTGCCCCTTCCCCCGCCGAGGGGGCACCTCAATCCCTCGGGGCGCCCCGACCCTCCGCCTCCCCTCTCCGCCATCCCCCTTGCCGGAGGCAGCACCTCCAGCCCCCCGGTACCCGGTGGGGCCGGGGGGTTCGGGGAGCCGCGATGCGCTTCCCCAAACTCCCGTGGCGACCCCCCCGGGGGTAGGGAGGGGGACGGGGACACGGCCCCGCCGCTGCTGCCGGCGGTCGGTGGAACCGGGGGGCTCTCCCCGCCCCCGGCCCGCTGGAGCGTGAAACGCCGTTTCACCCCAAAAGGCGTCCCCCGCGTGCACGTGCCTGCATCTTATAAACTACAGATCGCGATGAAATGTAAATTCCACTCCAGAAACTTATAGTGGGCTATTCTCT